AGAGGAGGAGAGTAAGGCATTGCAGCTAAAAAACATACACTCCTGAATTAAAGTAGAAATACCGGGCAGACTGAGGAACCCTTGTTAGAACAGATGGTTTGTAAGAGGCCATGGATTTCTGTTATGTTAGATGTTCCCTCCTTACGGGGGTCACAAGAGGGTGAGGAGGCCTGCAGTTGAATTCTGGAAGCCTGGAAGTCCTACCAGTAGGTTAAGAAGATTGGTCTGACAGTGCAGCCAGAAACATGTGTTGGGGAACTATTCCGAGAGGAAATCAAGCTGGCATCAACCTCACTGAACATTCTCATTGGCTGCTGATCTCTCTGAGTGAAAGCGTAGTATAAATGTGTGGCTTCTCACCGAGGATTAACCAACAGAACTGGGTTCCAGTCTTTAGATGGGTAACATTGCAGGGGAAGGAGAAGTCCAAAATCCATAAGTGAAAGAAATGAAGAGTCTCATGATGGATTAAATTCAGAGCTGGAACACAGTGGATAGGGCGTTTGCCTTGCATGCAGTCAACCCAGGTTCAATTCCCAGCATCACATATAGTCCCCTGAGCACCGCCAGGAGTAATTCCTGAGTGCAAAGCCAGGAGAAACCCCTGACCATCATCGGTTGTGACCCAAAAAGCTAAAAAAAAAGAGAGAAAAAATTAAATTAATAAATTCAGAGGTACTAGCCCAATGGCAATAGAAACAGAGCAGAACTGGTCTTCAGTAGGAAGCTTGCCTCTGGGGCAAGGTTGGAGGTGATTAGTTAGGGTAGGAATCACTAGGACAATTGGGGCGGGGGGAAAGTGCCTGTCTCAGAGTCAGGCTGGGGGGCAGGAGGGAAACTGAGGACATTGGTGGAGGGTAAAAGGCACTGGTGAAGGGAGTGGTGTTGGAACAATACATACCTGAAGCTCAATCATAAATATCTTTGTCGCTTTGTAATTTGCGATTCAATTGTTTTCAAAGAAAAAAATAAATCAAGAGGTACCATGTAGCTGTTAGAAAAGATGAAGTCATGAAATTTACATACAAGTGGTATTACATGGAAAGTGTCGTGTTAAGCAAAATGAGTCAGAAAGAGCGGGATAGACACAGAAAGATTGCATTCATCTGGGGAAAATAAAGAAACAAAATGGGAGACTAACACACAGGAGTGGCTGAGATGAGTACCAGGAATTTTGTTCCATGACTTGGAGGCCAGCCACACGTGCTAGGGGAAAAGGAAGCTCAGATAGAGAAGGGAGCACCAAATAAAGGGTGTTGGGAGGATCCTCCCAGGGTGGGAGAAGCATGCTGAAAGTAGACTATAGACCAAACATGATTGCCACTCAATGCCTCTCTTGCAAAACACAGGACCCAAAAGAAGAGAGAGAGAACAAGGGGGAGTGCCCTGCCTCAGAGGCAGGGTGGGATGGAAGGGTTGGGGGGGTGGGAGGGATGCTGGGACCCGTGGCGGTGGAAGATGAGTGCTGGTGGAGGGACGGGTACTTGATCATTGTATAACTGAAGCCTAAGCACAAAAATTTGTAAGTCTATAACTGTACCTCATGGTGTTTCACTAATAAAAATTTTTTTAAAAAAAGAGGTACTATATTGAGAATATGAAAGAAAATACTTTGATTATATCCATATTCTAAAGGAACATACATCAATTTAAATGAGTGGTTGGAAAATGTAAACTGTACATTTGCTGGCTGATTACAGGATTACACCTTGTGTCAGCAGCGAGAATGACTACACAGTAGACATTCTGTTCTTACTTACACATCTTTTTTTGTTTGGTTGTTTGGCTTGGGGCCACACCTAGTAGTGCTCGGGATCACTCCTCATTGGGCTTAAGGGACATTATGGGATCCAGGAATGGACCCACATCGGAAGCATGCAAGGCAAGCATCCTAAACACTGTACTATCTCTCTGGGCCCTATACGTCATTTCTTATGGTTATTAGTTGTTTTATTAGAAGTCACATTAGAAGCTATCACATTTCTCTGAGATTATGAGGGACTCTTGCATTAATCTGAGAAGTCCTCAATGTTATAGCCCATCCAAAAAGTCGATGTCTAGATTTTAGGGACTGGCTTTGATGAAGTAGTACTCATGGAATGGGATTGTTTAGGAAGCGGTGGTTGTTAATGATATGGCTTCCAGTTTGTAAGGATTAAATCCTTAGCAGACTTGGTATTCCTCTGACTTGGTGATAACAGCCACAGATCAAGGGTTCAGCTGATAAGATAGTTACCAGGGATTTACTACCATCCCCCACTCAAAAAAATGAGTGAAAGAACTTAGTGAATTAAAAAATATAAAATTATAATAAACTACTTTGGACAAACTGGCAGGCTACCGAATGTAACCTGCCCACATGGCAGAGCATGGCAAACTCCCCGTGGCGCACCCAATTTTCCAAATACCAGTAACAATGATGGGTCTCATTCTCCTAACTCTGAAAGAGCCTTGAATATGGCACTTTTTTAAAAATCTCAGGGCTAGGACAAAGGAGACGTTACTGGGGCCTGCTCGAGGCAATCGATGAATAACAGGATGGTCGTGATCGTGGTCATGAAAATAAAAATACAAAGTCACAGAAAGAATAAGAAATATATATATACTTGGCTTCAATATAAAAACATCTTATTTAGTATAAATGCAAATATCTATTTAATGTAAAGGCTCATAAGTATAAAGGCTGTGGACTGAAGTACAGTTTCCCTTAAATTCATATATTGAATCCTTAACCTCAGGTACCTCAGAATGTGACTACTTGGAGATAAGGGCTTTATTAAGTAAAAGTAAGTTCTTTGGAGTGGGCTTTGGCCATTACAATCAGTGTCCTAATAGTAAAGAAGGAAGATATTTGGACACTTGGACCAGGGGAATAACCCTTCAGGACAAAGAGAGAAGGAAACTAGTTTCAGTCCAAAACAAAGGACTCAGAAGAAACCAAACTTGCCAACATCTTCATCTGGAACTTCTAGCCTTTGGGGAATCTTTGGGGAAAAATCAGTATTTTTAAGCCATCTGGTCTGTGGTATTATGTTATGACAGCCTTGTAAACAGAATAGTATAGATTTCTGCAAACTTTGTTAATAAATGGTTTGTTTTGAGGCCACACCTGGCAATGCTCAGGGGTTACTCTTGGCTCTGCACTTTGCACTCAGGAATCACTCCTGGGTGTCTCCGGGGACCAAATGGGATGCCAGGAAATGAACCCAGGTCAGCACAAGACAAGCACCTTACCTACTGTTCTATCTCTGAGACTCCAAATTTTGTGAACAAATTGAAAAGAGAAAATAACCTAGTGAAATACTGCTTAGCATATGAAATATACAAAAGATTGCAACATTCCAGGGTATGTGGGAATTATCCTAGCCTTCCAGCTTTTCTGTAAAACTAAACTCTTCGAAAATAAAGACCAATTTTTAAAACTGGATTTAGGGGGCTGGAGCAATAGCACAGCAGGAAGGGCGTTTGCCTTGCACACAGCCAACCCGAGTTCAATTCCCAGCATCCCGTATGGTTCCCCAAGCCACACCAGGAGTAATTCCTGAGTGCATGAGCCTGGAGTTACCTCTGTGCATTTCTTTTGGTGTGACCCAAAAAGAAAAAAAAAAACTGAGTTTAGGGGCCGGAGAGATAGTATAGTGGATAAGGCTCTTGCCTTGCATATGCCAACCTAGGTTTGATTCCTGGCATCCCATATTGTCCTCTGAGCACTACCAGGAGTGACTCCCAAGTGCAGAGCCAGGAGTAGCCCCTAAGCATCACCAGTTGTGGCCAAAATTCCAAAGGGGAAAAAAAAGCAATGTAAATTGTTCCAAAGTAGACAAAAGGATATCATGTACTATGTGTACAAAAGGACTGGCAGTACTTACAATTTTCACATATACTAGTGTTCAGATGTATTTTAAAAATATCTGTAAGAATTTTTTTCTATTTAGGTAGCAGAACTTTTCGTGTTTTTAATGATGATATTTATGATTGGCAGTGTGTTGCAATTTAAAATAGAGCTACCACACTGGAAGGCATTTTAATCGGTAAAAATGTGTATGATTTCTGAAACAGCAGCAGCACTAGCACCAGGAAATTAAGACCAAAATACACAGAAAGGTTTTTCATGATATTACATGCAATAGTGAAAACCAGCAAATTAGCCAAAAATAAGTTCTTCAGATAAACTATGAGAATCTCAATGTAGAATATAATAATGCATTAAGATAAATACCATGGAAATTTATGTGAGAACAAAAATTCCATGCTGTGCTTTGTGAAAATATCAATTATATACCATGTCTATTCTTATGTTTAGTGTATGTCTGCATACATCTTGGATGTAGGCTTTGATAAAATAATCTCAACTATATGGGGCTGGAGAGATAATACTGTGGGAAGGGTGCTTGCCTTGTACATGGCCAACCCAGTTTCGATTCCTGACATCCCTTATGGTCCCCCGAACACCGCCAGGAGTAATTCCTGAGTGCAGAGCCAGGAGTAACCCCTGAGCATTGCCACTGTGACCCAAAAAGCAGAAACTTCTGTAGTTTGAGCGGCAGGGATTCCCAAGGAGTATATGTATCAACCCAGGGGCCTCTCCCAGTGATTTTTGGTAAACTGGGCCAGCAGTTCAATTCTAGGACCTAAGGATGTGGCGCCACTGAGGCCCTGTAGTGCCAGTCTGGCTCCAGGGCCTCACCCTGCCATCTTCAGAGGACCATGTGGTGCTGGGGTAGACTAGCATCTAAAGCAAGCAGGGCATATACCTTGACTCTTACATGATCTCTCTGATGCCAGGAAAAAGTGGCAGTGTTATTAATGTTTTTTTCTGTTAAGCTGTATCTGAAATATTGGAATCATCTTTTTGCAGAAAATATGTGCTTAGCTTTTCAGAGCAAATTTACTGTCATGTTTTTCATGTACTTTCTACTTTTTTGTTAGGCAAAAATGTCATGAACTATTTAAAAGCATTGCTGTGTTTGACTAGTCTTCTCATTGTTTTTTGCTTTTAGGTTGGTGTTTGGAATGCTTTATCCTGCATATTATTCATACAAAGCTGTAAAAACAAAAAATGTGAAAGAATACGTAAGTAGTTTTATGAATAATTCTAGTGTCTTGGATCAAAATTAAAAAACTTATTTTAAGATCAGTTGGAATGATTTGGGGGATTAAAATGTGAAGTAATGAAATTACTCGTCAGTTTACAAAGAGAATACTAAATTTGAGTTAAGTTTTAAAGTGGTATTTTAAAACTTGGTCACTGTCAATTGGTTCCCAAAAGAGTAATAAGGTATTTCTTACCCACTTAGTAAATTGCAGTATAATAAAAGATAATGAAATTGTCTTTTTGACTTATAAGCTTATAGGCAAACTAGGACTATGGCTTCTTCCTAGCCCCAGAACCTTTACCTCTTTCTTAGATGTTCTGTGGTTTTCTCTTTGATTTAGATATCACTGTCCACAATTGCAACATCTTTTCTTCTTAACTGACTACACTTGTATAGCAATTTCCTCATGAGTCCTCACTGCCTCTTCCATCTTCTTTTTCCCTTACATTCACTGATTTTTTGTTTTTATTTTTGTTTTTATTTTTAACTAATTTCTTTCAGTTCTCCTGAATTCCCAAATTTATTCAAAGTACTTAGTCATAAATAGCCATGCTCATCTGTAAATTTGAGCATAATTTACTCTATTGATAGAGTGAAATTTCGGAAATTTGCAAAAGCATATTGATAGTCAGCCATGAAAGAAGTGAGTAATAACTACACATCACTGTCACTCTTTTAACGAAAGTAATATTCATATATCATAAAAATGATTCCATTTCATAGTGGAAAATCCAACGCCATAGGGCACTTGCATTGCACATAGCAAACCCCGGTTCAATCACTGGCATCCCACATGGTTCCCCCAAGCCTGCCAGGAGTGGTCCCTGAGCACAGAGCTACGAGTATGCCCCAATCATCACTGAGTATGGCCCAAAAACAACCAAACAAAAAACTTTAAACCAAAATCCATTAAAATGATTGATCTTCATATTCCCCGACCTCACCTCACTCCTTGCTTACCAATCTGTTTTCAAATTGTATAAATTTACCTTTTTGAATATTTTATATAAATGGAATATATATGTTATATATAAATATATATTTATTATATATATATAAACTATCGGAAAATAGTTCAACATTCTTGTTCAAACTGCTAGGGAAAAAAACTATGAAATTTCATGTCTTGATTAATAAAAATGTTTCCCTATATTTGTGTGTATTTGCACGCTTACTTTCAGAGAATCATTACTGACAAAATAGGATTTCTCTTTCTATAATTCTGCTGTAGTACTGACTCAAAAAATTCAACATCTTTGAGAACAACAATAATGAGTGAAACTGAAAAACGAAGGTGTCTGGAGGTGGCTTGGTAATTACATGGCAATCAATTCTGCTTCACAAAGTGAGAAGTGAAAGAAGAATCACCAGCCCTGAAACAAAAAGCCCAAGGCAAGGCCAGAGCCCTAGCACGGGAGCTCGTACTTGGAGCTGCGTGTTTCCCCAAGCCCCTCCAGGAGTAGCGGGGAGTAAGTCTTGAGTCTCACTCCCAAAAGAACATATAAAATAAGGCAAGGATATGTTTTTGCTACAGAAACATCATACCATTCTGAAGAGTCCTAGAAAACAAAATTTCTGCCAATGAAGGCTTCTAGAGAGACTAAACTAGCATCTTGCCTGCTGTCACAAATTACCCCACTAGCTTAGAACAACACAAATTGATTCTCCTACACCCCTAGAAGGCAGAAATCGGAAGTGAATCTGTAGGGCTTTGTTCCTCTGGAGCTGGAGGGAAAAATCTGCTTCCTTACCTTACCTTACTGGAGGCGATGGCTGCGCACGTACCTAACCCATGACTCTTCCTCCTCTGCAAAACCAGCAACCTAATGCTTGGCCTTTTGATACTCTCTGCTCTCTGACTCTCCCCAGCCTCCTCTTTCGCCTCTAGTTTGTGATTATATTGGACCCATCTGCTTAGCACAGAATTTTCTCCCTGTCTCAGCATCACCTGATCAGCTACTTCCACATACAGGGGCCAGAGCAATAATAGGGCACTTGCCTTGCATGTGATCGACCAGGGTTTGCTCCCCAGCTTCACATATCATCCCCCAAAGCTCTCGCTCTTGATCACAGAGCCAGGAGTAAGTTCTGAGCTCACCTGGCCGGGGCAAAACAAAGTATAGGAGAAAAAGATCTGCCGTTCTTTGGGGGAAGGAAACATTTTTCTACGTACCATGATGATGTCTCACTGTTTCTCACAACAGCTCTCAGCAGTGGGCAGAAAATGTTTTCCAGTTTTACAAGTTCAAAGAAGTGAATCATCAGCTTACCCAGGGTCACATGTATCATGATGCTGGGTTGAAAATGTTGTTTCCGGGCTGGAGCAATAGCACAGAGGGTAGGGTGTCTGCCTTTCACATGGCCGACCCGGGTTCGATACCCAGCATCCCATTTGGCCCCCTGAGCACTGCCAGGAGTGACTACTGAGTGTAAAGTCAGGAGTAACCCTTGAGCATCGCCAGATGTGACCCAAAAAGCAAAATAATAATAATAATAATAATTAATAAAATTTTAAAAAGAAAGAAAGAAAGAAAATGTTGTTTCCAGTATGTTATTTTTTCCTCTACTATCATGAGACCTAAAGAAAAGTAGACAACAGGACCAGGAGACATGGTACAGCAGATAGGGCTTTGCCTTGCATGCAGCCAAGGGGGGTGATCCCTAGTATCCCATATGGACCCCCAAGCTCACCAGAATTGATTCTTCGCGCAGGGTGAGTAGTAATCCCCACCACTGCTGGATGTGCCACATCCCCCTGAAAAAATAAGAAAAGTAGAGAAAGGAAAAAATGGTGAAATAACCCTAGAGCCAAACTGATTGCACTTCTGGTTAATTCTAAGATAGACCTTCTGAGTTCACAACTATATGGATATATTTTAGGAAAGACAGTGTTTTGTCCAACCAAAAGCAGAACCCATAAGCATATAAATTAACTGTGATTAAAATGGTTTAACATGAAATTAGAAGGTTTTGTAAGCTCTATAAAATCATAGAAGGTCTTTAATATTTCCAATTCCAATTTACTTCTGACAGAAACAATGGTGTTTCCTTGCTGAGTCTCACATAAACCCTGGCCATCCAATATAACCTGTGATTGTAACAGTTTAGTAGATCTGTGTTCATAGTTTTTTCCATATCGTAATGCCACCCAAATTTGATTTAGTTGGGATGTAACAGTTTCATAATAAAAGTAACCTTCTGAAAAATTCCAGGCTATATTTTAAGTCTTCTATATTATTTGTATTTGTGGTTGTCACCAGAAGAAGCTCCATCAAATTCTGTTTTGTTCATTCCTAAACTCCCTTGCCTAGAACATTATGTAGTGGGTACTCAATATATTAAACCTAGTATTATTTTATTAAGAAAAAAGAATTTATTCCTAAGTATGTATTGAATTTAAATGGGATTTATGAAAGCATATATACAGCATATAAATCCTAAAATGCATTGTCCTAATTTCTCAACTTTTGTTCTGCTTTTTTAGGGAGCATAAAGTTCACTCTGAACAGTAATCCCAGTTTCCCTGTGATACTTAGTTATTACCTAGATTCCACTGATACCTACTTCAAAATTTTTTGAGAAAGCAAACATTTTTTGGTTAATTTACTACTTCCCACCCTAACTACTACCATTCTCCTTAAGTCTGCAAATACTAGATTGCACCTGATAAAATAGATGCTTTGTTCAAATCAAAACAAATAGAAAGTGCTGTGTGTTTTGGCAACCTTCCTTTCTTCCTTTGCCTATTTTTAAAGCAGAGCTTTCCTAGGATATAATTTCCTGTATAGTGTGGCTGATCTGGCCTCTTAAAGTCTTTCAGTCTCGCAATAATTGAAATGTAAACTTACAGAAGAATTAGTACAATTTTGCAGATTTTTTCAGGCTTATACCATCCCATCACTTGAAAATAGTGTTTACTTCCAGTTCATGTAATTGCTGTAGCTTTTCTCGGAAACCAGTGTTCTTACTCTGATGTTGGAGAAAATTACAGTGAAATGACTGAAAGCACTCAAAAACATCAAAATCAGACATTGGGTCTTTCTTAAAATTTACTGAGATGGGGACATTTCTGAGACATTCCTCTTGAAAAGGCCTTGAAATGGTTGTCTAAAACCCATTTTTTAAGTGACCCAATTTTGAACTTGTTTTTCCATTCTTACCATTGGTAAAATCTACTAGTTTGGGGATGGAAATAAAATATACTGAAGACTTTTCCTTATATTTCACTGTTAAGAGCTGTACCAAGGTATTTACTTTGGGGGGCTATTCAGAGAGGCATTGGTTTACACCCAAAGGTGGTCAAGAATTACTCCTTGGGGTGTGGGGAGAGAAAGAGAGAGAGAAGAATTAGCACCTGCCGAAGAGGCAGGCAAGGGGTAGGGGTGGGGGTTGATGGGAGGGAACATGGGGACGCTGGTGGAAGGATGGGTGTTGGAATACTGTCTGATCACGTAATGCTCTAAAAACTAAAATAAAATTTTAAAAAATTACTCCTGGGTCTGTGTTCAGGGACCACTTAAGGCTCTGTGCTTAGGGATCACTCCTGGCACTGTGCTCAGGGATCACTCATTTCAGTACTTGGGAGACCAAATGTGGTGCTCAGGATCAAACCAAGGTCACCTGTGTTCGAGACAGACACCTTAAACCCCATTCCCATCCCTTACTGTGCATTTTGGATAGAAAGTATTTCTTTCAGGAGCTAGAGAAATAGTATACCACAACAAAAAGCCAGTTTTCCAACACTTATTATTAAAACACAATACTTGCCCCGTTCTCTACATAGCTGTTCAAATCATTTACCCCAAACTTTTGGAATTTATTTACATACTCTAACATGCTTAGGGGCAGGGAGATGATACAGTGACTAGGGCATATGCACACCTGACCTGGGTTCAATTCCAAGCACACATGCCTCCCAAGCCTTCAGGGTGCAGCCATCAAGACCTCCAAGCGTCACCGAGGGGGCCCTGAACGGCA